GWSCCTTCTCCTCTCCAGGTGAACACCCCAGCCTGGCTCCAGAGCAGAGGGGCTCCATCCCCTGGAGGATGTTTGTGACAAAAGAAGGGAATAAACCTTTCCCTGCTGCTCAGGTGTCCAGCATGAGAGGTCCCTGCCCTGTCCCCACTCCCGCTCAGCTCCATGTTCTGAAGGCACAGGGTTTTCCTCAGCTCCACAGGTGACACAGCCACTGGCACTGATGTTTCCCCAGATAGATCAGCACTCCCTCCTCCCTCTGCAGGGCCAGGACAGCTTCCCTGTGATCCCTGCCCCAGGAACCAGCCCAAGACAGCTTCCCTGCGATCCCTGCCCCATGAACCAGTCCAGGACAGCTTCCCTGTGATCCCTGCCCCAGGAACCAGTCCAGGACAGCTTCCCTGCGATCCCTGCCCCATGAACCAGCCCAGGACAGCTTCCCTGTGGATCCCTGCTCCTGGAACCGGCCAGGACAGCTTCCCTGCGATCCCTCCGTGCCCCGGGAACGGTGCCAGCCCCGGGGACAGCTCTGTGCCGTGACAATGTCCCAGCTTAGCACAGCCGTGTCACCGCTGTCTGCACAGCGGCCGCGGCATTGGGTTACCCCCAGGTGAGATGAGCGGCGGCTGCACRGCTCCGGCTAATTGAGCACATTAATTAGGCACGAGGATCTCCTTTCAGACGAGACGCGATGTCTTTGTGAGCCAGCAGCGCTGTTCTCTCGGCCCCTCCGGGGGAATTGTCAGCATTTTGCTGGGAAAGGGGACGGTTCGGGGGGTTCGTCCCATCTGAACCCCGCTCACGTCCCCGCACTGCCTGGCTCAGCTTTGGGATGCTCTCAGCACCCCCGGCTCAGCTTTGGGATGCTCTCAGCATTCCCAGCTCAGCTTTGGGATGCTCTCAGCCCCTCGGCTCAGCTTTGGGATGCTCTCAGCCTCCTGGCTCAGCTTTGGGATGTTCTCAGCACTGCCCGGCTCAGCTTTGGGATGCTCTCAGCACTGTCCGGCTCAGCTTTGGGATGTTCTCAGCACTCCCGGCTCAGCTTTGGGATGCTCTCAGCACTGTCCGGCTCAGCTTTGGGATGCTCTCAGCCTCCTGGCTCAGCTTTGGGATGTTCTCAGCACTCCCGGCTCAGCTTTGGGATACTCTCAGCACCCCCGGCTCAGCTTTGGGATGCTCTCAGCACTGCCCAGCTCAGCTTTGGGATGCTCTCAGCCCCCTGGCTCAGCTTTGGGATGCTCTCAGTCCCCAGCTCAGCTTTGGGATGCTCTCAGCCCCCCGGCTCAGCTTTGGGATGCTCTTAGCATTCCCGGTGCCTGTGAGCTGCGCCTGCAGCCCAGCACTGCCTCAAAAACCCTCCCAGAGCCCTCAAAAGACTTTTACAAGCAGAGTCTGGGCTACATCCCCGGTTTTGAATTCAATCTCCCTGCAGAAAGAGGAACCAAAGAATGCGCTCGGTCACTCCTCTACTATATTTCACCCGAGGTGACATTTATAGGGYGCAGGAAGACCTAATGTACCATCATTTTGCTTTCAGCAGGCTCCATAAAAGTTTTGGCTAGGCTCAGGCTTGAGATTCTGCCCAAAGGAAACTCAGAGGCCGACTGAGCAGAACTGGACGCGGGGGCTGAGCAGGCTGGGTGAGCAGAACACCCCGGGACCCCAAAATCAAAGGGGGAAAGGCAGGCAGGGGAGGAAAGAGAGGAAAAGAAAGGCCTGGCCAGCAGGATGGTGATCCTGAGCTCCACACGCCAGCTCATCACTCACACAGTGCCTGTGACTGCCCCGGGGAAGGCTTTGGTGGAACATCTTTGATTCCTGCATCCATCCCCTGACAGTGACTGGGATGCATTTCAAATCCTGCTCTATTTGAAAGTAAAATTRCTATTAGCCAATATTTGTCTGAGGCAGTTTCTTTGAAGAGGATGCTGCTATGCAGCGAATTCCACACTAATTACAGGAATTAGGAAAGCAGTGAAGTGCAAAATTTTTTTTTTTCCCAAGGCTTTCCAGAAAGCTGCCTCTTAAGCATCATGTGCCGCTGAWGTTTAAGGTGCTTTTTTAGAACTCTTGCAAGGAAATCTAATTTAATTCAGCTTGCAAGAAGCACCCTTAGATGTTCCCAGAGCAGCACCCAAACAGAACAGTGCTCTTCAAAGGCACAAACATCTGAGAAGGCTCCTGAGGGGCAGCACTGGGAAAAGCTGGGGA